TAATTATAAAATAAATAAAAAATATAATTAAATCTCTAAATACTCTTTAAAAAACTTAAAATTATAAAATTTTATATATTAGTTTTAAAATATTTTATTTTAAATATATTAATTTTTTAATATATAATTATATAAAATTTTTGAATAAATATTTGTAAAGTTATAAATTATATAAATATTTATTATAATTATTTTAGATAACTAATTGAATTATATTAGTTGCTAATTATATGATATAATATAATTTAATTGATCAAATTATATATATAATCAGTAACTGATCACAAATAAATCAAATAAGTTCTTGATTGCATTTTTTCTTTAATAGTGTAGTTATATTTTTATTATTTTATAAATTATCATATTAATTTTATCTGATAACAAGTAGAAAATTAGTTTTTTTAGTTTTAGATAAAAATATCAAATAGTATTTAATTTTCAATTTTTTTTAATAATTTATATATTACTCAATAATCTAAATAAAATGTTTTTTTCTTTTGTATAAATTAAAATTATTTTTTTACTGTTATTCATAATTTTTAGTTTTATTAATTTTTTTAATATTTAAATATTTCTGTGTTATATAATATTTATATGTAATAGCATATTATTAATTCTCTTTTATTTTTATTTTTCTAAAACAAATATAATTGTGATATTATATATCTTATTGGTTCCAAGAAAAAAATTCCATTAGTTTAAAAAAAAGAATTTCTGGATGATAAAATTGATAAAAAAAGAATTATAAGTTATTTGAATATTTTATTTTATTTTCTAACTCTTATAATAATTAATTCTTTAGAATGCACACTCTTTTTGAAATAGGGTGTGCATCAACCAACACATTCACATCGAATAACAACTTTTTATTAGTTACCAGCCTTAATGATATTATAAAATCAGTTACACATTCCATGCTTTTGATAATAAAAAAGAAGAAAATCTTGATAAAATTGAACACTATATCTGAGAAGCTGACCAATAGGAAAATCAATGTGCTGGCATAGTGGAAGGTAAATAATAATAGTTGCCTATTAAAAATAATAATTTGAAATTGAATAATATAATATTAAGACACATCAAATGCAGTTTTCTCATCTTGCTCATATGGCTCGTGATTATCTGGCAATCCCAGCATCCTCCATTGCTTCTAAATGTGACTTCTCTGCTGGTGGAAGCATGATTATGAATAAGAGATCTAGTTTGATGTCTAAGACCCTAAGAGCAGCACAGTGTCTTTGATCATGAATACAGGAGCCATTAAAAGGAAAGTTGGATAACTATGTGATATGAATTTTTGATGTGATCTGGTATATTACTCGATTAATAATTATTATAAATTTTGATTTATATGAAATTTAGAAATGGTTAGATTTTTTATGATAAATATTAATTATATTAATATAAATATCATATTCCAAATATTTTGATATCAAATTTGGATTCCTAAACGATATTTACTTAGAATCAAACAATCTCTTTGCTGCAATATCATTAGAATTCTTCGGTCTTCAAAGTTAACCCTACCGAACCCGAACTTGTTCATGAACTTTGAACCGAACTTCGAACCAAATCCGAACTAACCAAAAAAGTTCAGTTTGAACCCGAACCCAACTTCAAAATTGGTTCAGTTTCGGATTTCGAACCAAACCCGAACTCGGTTCGATAGGAGCACTACATGTAAATTAATGTTTGAATTAAAAATCAGTACAATTTTAAGTCTGTCAATAAAAATCACTAATTCAAACAATTCTGAAATAACTTAAAGACTCCATCTATTAATTTTTGATAATATTTCGTTTCGCATAGATATGAAATCAAGACAATGTGTTATTGTCACCTACTCAAGCAGTGTGATCTACTTTTGCAATAGAGATAAATTCGAGAATTTAGCACATGATTTCAAACCTGGGCTTTTTGAATTCGGATAATTGTTTCAAATGTCAGTCTCGATCTCTTAATACAGATTCTAAAGTAAGTCAGCAAAGAATTTCTCTTTTTGACTCTAAGAATGATAAAAAATGCTATTTTGTTTTTTATGAAAAAGTCCTGTCAATAATTTGTCACAACAGAAGAAATAACTTTACCCGGTCTCATTTACAAAGATTTCCATTTTGAGTTAGTATCTACTGATAAAGTTTTGATAATCATAATATAAGCAAAAAAAACAGACAGAACGACAGAACAAACAAAGGAACAGACAGGGATGAATGAGCGAAAATTTTTCATAAATAAATGAGTGAATCTTAATTATATTTGTAAGAAAACTTAGAATAATAAGAAAAATGAATAAATAACAAATTTAATAGACCAGTAAATTTGCCCGCCCGTAAAATTGTCAGAGATTTACTCTTTCAACAACGTTTTTACATTAATGATTGTTGTAATCATGAGGCAAACATTGAATCTACGGTGCATACAAGCTAAAGACAGCAAAGAATTTCAAACTACTACTACTATTATCCAAATATCTTTTTCAACTGTAACTCATTGTTATTCAATAGAGGATTTGGATAAACATAATAACGATTAGTTCTTCAAATTCGAGATATGAGAAAAGTTATAAGAGCCGTGACATATTGAGTAATATAATTTTAATATAGAGCCCACACACAGATAAAATATTTGAAGCATGTGACTCTATATATTACATAAGATACTGTCAGTATCCCCTCCACCCTAAGGATATTACGTAATATCTGTGCTCTAAGTGTTCAAAGTTTATTAATTGTTATTAATAAGAGTGATGGAATTGAAACATCACACGGAGAACGATTATTGGTCAAATAATGATGAATGTAGATTGTGAATTCAAATGTAAAAGAGTAGCTATGGCAAAAAAAGTGGGTCATGTAATTCCGATCCCGATGCTGACCATCCTTAAATCATGCACCAATCAAATTGCAAGCTCTCCTATCTGCTATATAATAACCCAAACTTAATTCTATCCCTAACTAAAATTTATTTAATATTATCGTTATGTATTATAATTAAGGTGGGATCTCGGATGGTTGGTGTCGGTATCAGAATCACATGATCTGTCACCATGACTATGGTGCATAAATCTAAAGTCATCAAACGTTTGTATTTTATAAAATGTATAAACTTCTTTACTTGATAGAATAGGCCTTTTCTGAGCATATTTACGGATTAAATTTTGTATTTACTTCTTAGTAAAGAATTTTATACATTTTATAAAATACAAACATTTGATAACTTTAGATTTATGCACCATAGCGATAGCGATAGGATATCTGATCCGATCATAACGATAACATTTGCATCATATATACTAAAACTGGAAAAGATTTTCTGCCGCGTTCTAATAATTATGTTACAATTTAGAAATAAGGTTATCGTTATGTGATTTGTTACGCTCATATCTCCGATCTGAGATCCCGAATGAATTTTGGTTAAAACTTTAAAATGATCTTGCAAATTATTTCTAAAAGTGAATACGTACAGTGGCGATCAAAAGTAATGTAAATATCTTAACGTTAACGTTAACGTTAATAAATTCGTAATAAAATTTAAAATGAAACTAAATAAACATACATCAATAGTAATAATTATATTTTTTAAATTCTAGTTAATTAATTTTATTTTCGATTGCAAGATAATCATCCGACTTGCATGAAACACGTGTTGCATTTCTTTTGATCGTTTTTGACGAGCAATCAGATGATGATTGCTATTACATAACGATAAAATCACAAAATAAATGTAGTATGGGTTAAATTGTATTAAGTATAGTCAAAAAATAAAAAAGACGATGTTTTATTTATTTAAGGGTTATACAAATTTTATTAAATATAATGCAACACGAAAATTTAATAAATGCTGCGATTGTGACACAATTAACTTAATAACCCATGTTGAATTTATTATCGTTATATTTATACACTTGATCAAATAATTATCGATTATGATTTGATCTTAATTCTGTGTAAAAATATCACGATTCAACAATTTTCAATTATGTGTTGCATTACTTTTTATCGCCACTGTATATGTTACATGTGGTGCTCATAGAATCATCATTGAACATTAATAATGAAAGGAAGTGTGTTAACGGTTATTAAAATGATGTCAGTACGAATTGCAAATTGGATTGATACTGCATCACTCATAACTTTATTTGTGCTAGGTTTAGGTGACGAAGCAAATGATTATTTTTTACATTTAAAATTTCGCATTTCCTGCTTATACTTATAATTAAATGCATTTATTCACAAGCTATTTTCTTGACTTCTCTTGATAGTTTTTACCGCTTTTCTTTACCCATGCAATAATTTCCTAAAGAACTTTGTAGATAGATATTAATTTCGAAATCTATGGAATCAATTTCCATAGAAACGTAAACTTTCTCAGCCTATAAAAATAAACTTTATTTCTCATGATTGAATCACAATTCTTTTACTTTTTGAAGTTTCTCGAGAATTTACGATTTTAATTATGCAGATCCTTCTGCAAGACTGGCCAATTAGACAGAAATATGTGTTACATGTACAAGCAAATCAAATAGCACGCGTTTCTGGATCTAAAATGTTTATCCCATAATTGATAGAACATTTTAATGATTAATGGATGTCTGGTTTCATTGTTCAGATTTATTTGGCTATTAAAAAAGCAAAAATCCCCTTTACAATAACAAATGAAACACAAAGTTAATATTACAAGTTTACGAATGTTATTAGGTTAAAAAACAAAACGAAGTAAACAAAGTAAATGAGGTAACGAAGTAGCGAAGTAAACGAAGTAAATGAAGTAACGAAGTAGTGAAGTAACAAAAGAATAAAAGAACAAGCGAACGAGCTAATGGGAATAGAGTGATTATGCATGATGCTTTTCTATATTAAAAAAATTAAGCAAAGGAGTTGTTACCATATAATAAATTGTCAAAATGACATAAATCATATTTTGTCATAAATAGTTGTGGTGAAGATATCAGCGGAGTTAGTGGAGTATTATTAGTAATGAATGGGTTCGGTGTTGAAGTATTAATTGAAATTAATTGAACCATTGTTATCGTTATGGTTATTGATATTAATTATGCAACCATCTGTAGAAAATTGATTATTGTTATCATACAATTGATTGAAGACGTTGATCGAATTTTGAGCCAAATCATTAGTGTAGTCTTGATTATAGATGGCTGTCGCAAAATCTTGCTGATTGTAAATGGTCGCCGTAAAGTCATTACTAAAATTTTGTTGATCATAGGTGACTGTCGTAAAGTTATTAGCATAGTCTAGATTATTATAACTAGTTGTCGAAAATGCTAATGTTAAAGATGGTAGCCTGTCAATCTGTATTAGTTCTTGAGGTGAATTGGAAGTCAAAGATGACGGTCCATCGATTTTTATTGGTTCTTGAGGTGAATTGAAAGTGAGCTCAACTGGCGAAATAGATACATATTTTTTCTGTTCACGAAAAATGAATTTTTTATGGCTTGAAGTTTTTGCATTTTTTGGCTTGTATTTATAATTAGGATATGTAAGTTTATGGTTCTCATAAGCTATTTTCTCTAATATTTTGAAGAAATGCTTGACTTGGCTTGATAGCTTTCGCCACTTTAAACTGCATGTCTTTGCTGTTTCTTTAACTTTTGATTTGACATTTTGATTGCAACGTAAGTATGCTTCATAATCTCTTCGAAAAATTATCCAGCTGTTTTGTGGCCGTGGTGGATTATGACGTTTTTCTACGGCTGATTTTGTTAACTTGTCGATCGACAGAGTTAATTGATAAGGACATTGATGTAAAATCTGTATTTCATTGTCAGTTAAATATTCATATTTAATATTGAACTTAGTCATTTAAGATAATTAATTTTATTATATGTGCAAATGGTGATTTATTTACAATAAAAAATATCTGAAAAGACATTGGATTTATATACAGTTGACACACTCCTTTAAATGAATTTTATCGAATAAAAGAGTGTGTCCTTAGGGAAATGCGATTGTATAGTCATACTTCTAAACATTCATACAATCACGCCTTGGTCCCAGCCACATGAATTTTATCTCCGTGATAACCTAAAATTAATGATCAATTGCTGTATATGGTTAGCATTGTTTCACCAGAAATCAAGATAATCGTGCTGTTACCTTTGAAAGTTCAATATTATTTGTATGTTTTGCGTATAGCAACAATATCTCTCAATAGACTTTTTTTGGTAATAGTTCTTTTTCTCTTTCTTTCTGGAGTAAAAAAACACATTAAGAAACTGGCTAAAATTGATGATCAATTACTAAATATATGTATTATTCGGTATTTAGCTAAAAGAGTTTATTTTGTGACGGATGGGGGGCATCAGACTGTTGTGTTTATTATAACAATCAATCGATAAAGAGACGGGGGGTGAGAATTATTTACGGTTAAAGGGTCTCTTTGTTGTTCTAAAGGCTTTCCGTGGTGACTTGTACGCAAATCAACCGAATGTAGGTAAGAGGAAAATAATAAGAATAAAATAAAGTAAAATGATTTTTAAATCACAAACTAAAATTCTAAACTAAAATTACTAGGACTTATTGATACGGCCTATCAAGGAGAATAATACGATAAGATTTATTGATACGGTCTATCAAGGAGAATAACATGATAGGACTTATTGATACAACTATTCAACCAAGCAAGGCCACAGGGCTTGTTGATGCAGCCTGCAAAGAAAATTAACTAACAGGACTTTTTGACGCAGCCTGTAAAGAGGTAGCAAATCAAATCAAAGAAAAATAATGGCTTATTATAAGTGACTGAAGTTTAATAAAAATAATATAGTATTCACAACTAAGAACTTTGATATTTTATTAGATTAAAGCATACTTTTGCGAAGGCTTGGAACACCTCTATATACAGGATTGAATTACTACGTTAATTTTAAAATTAGTGTTTCACATTAATGTTTCTCTTGAAACTTTCTAAAAGTGATTAAGCAACAATGGTTTGATGCCTTTCAATTGTCTATATAATTACTATCGTTACATACATTAATATTGAGGAACGAAGGAACGGTTATTATTCATAATAATTTATTTCTTTTTTGGGTTTCAATTAAGATTGGATATTAAACTAGCTAAAAAAGGATTTGATTGTAGGGATCAATGAAGGAAACTTTTGGAATTAAATTCCATTGTGTGATGACTATGAGAAGATATCCATATAGAAACTAAGAGTACAAATCATGGAATTAGAAGATTTAATGCTAATTCGGGAATAGTACAGCAGATTGAATGAATTCAGAAGGTCTCATTATGTAATAAAATAAAGAAGCAATGAGATCTATAATTTCTGTACTCTTTGATAAAGTCAATTTCAGCTGAATGACATTCACCGGCCTGCCTGCAAACCGTATCCAGTAGTGATCAGTGACAATGATTAAACGGTGAAAATATCTTTTTCGTGAATTTAATTCATAATTCCCATTTTAATAAAAGGAATTAATTGGTGGTACTATGTCACTCTGCACCTTATTTTTTGATAAAAAGATAACCCTGAACTAGAGCTCCTAACGAGTCGGGTCAGGTTTAGCTCATTGAATTTGTATCATTGAGACGAATCTAATGGTAGCTGTTTAATCTCGATAGAATCAATGTCCAGTGAGATAGAGCGTTTTGAAGTTGTTTATAATTTTCTTAAGCAATCCGAAAAAATGCTATTTCGGCATTCAGTGATCACGGAAAGACAAATTATTGCCCATTGGATTTGTCTCATTGAGACGAATTTAATGGTAGTTTTTTCAACTCGATATGAGCGATATTCGTCGAGATATAACAATTTGAAATTTCGATTAAAATTTTCGGGTCGGATCAAAATTCGGAGCATTACCCTGAAATCATTGAGTGTCCTTAATCTTAATCCTCAATTTTCAATTTGTTATTAAAAATGAGTGATTGTCCACGGCACCATAATATCTTGTTAATAAAATTAATCACTTTTGTATTAACTAACTTTGACCGATATTGAAAGGGCGCATTCATTGTGCGTTTAATTATTGTCGATTAATTAATCGTTGATAATTTTTTATCAGTCCAGCAAACAAATCCGACACACAGAAAATGTAAAATGTAAAAATACAGGAAACACATGCTTAAATCTAATTAACAAATGTCAGTGAGATAGTTTTACATATAACCTTGATCTCAAAACCTAAATCCAATAGTGACTTTTAAATCAACCTTTAACATTATGTTGCAAATCGACAAAACTTGTCGTTATATGTACATGTACTGTTCGATATTTTAGCAATAGGGGTTTATTTCGTGACAGTTGAGGGCACCAGATTATTGCGTTTATTGCAATAATCAATCGATTAAGGAACTTTCTGCAACGGAGTGAGAGCTAGGCTGAATTATTTACGGTTGGAGAGTTTCTCCGGGTGTTCTAAAGGCTTCCCGTGGCGACTTGTTCACAAATCGACCTTCTCAACAATAGTGGGGTGTATGGGAAGGGGAATAAGATAGTTTTTCTCTTATGATAAGAACCAAATTGCTTTAATAAAATTGTGTTATTCAATAATCAAAAATGGTTGCAAATATGACAGGTCTTATTGATACGACCTGCACAAAGAAAACAAAATCAACTTGAGGACTTATTGATACGGCCTGTCCAAAATAATAATTCAAAAGAAATCGACAGCTTATTTAGAGTGGAGGAGCATCCACTACTTGTAATTACTCACGAGGTTTGAAGTTTAATCAAGGAAATAAAATAAAAATGTATTCACAAGTAGTATTACTATTACGAGTAAGAACTTTGTTATTTATTAGATCAAAGCATGTATTCTAAAGGCTTGAGAATACTTCTTTTTGTATAGTTTTGAATTACTACACTACTTCTAAGATTAGTATTTTACATTGATTCTCCCAAAACTTTCTAAAAGCTATCAAACAATAATTGCTTGATGTCTTTCAATTGTGATAATTGTCATCCTTTAAATAATCACTATCATTACGTACATTAATATTGAAGACTGATAGGGCATATGACACAAAAAAAGGAAAAGAAAAAAAATTAAGTCATTTATAATGAAATATTTCTAAATTTGGTTTATAATAGAACTTACACAAGAAACTAATTTTAGAAAGAATATCATGTAAGAATTATAGAAAGATATTCATGTGGAAATTATGAGTAAAAATTACGGTATTGAAGAATTTAATGCTATTACGGTAATATTACCTTGCAAAAGGCCATCGCATTGATGATTTTTTGTGATACAAATTGAATTTTAATTTGTGCTTTATTTTAAATGTATTTTAGTATTGTCTGAAATTATGATCAATTACTAGATATTAAATAAAAATGAAGAGTAATCAGTTTTCTTAGTTACAGTATTAATTATGCGAGTTAAATTAGTACATATGATTAAGGAAATTCTAGTATCTAATATAAATTTTACACTGAATACAATTTATGCTATAAACAACGAGCAAAAAAATTTCACTTGTTTCTGTATTACAAATTTAAATGTAAGACTTAAGGTTAACATTAATCACTTAATCTTTTATTAAATAATTACTAACGTTCACCACATAACCAAACTATAAAATATGGTGGTTTTATTATGGTTTGGGGTTGTTTAACTGCTAGTGGAGTTGGAGAACTTTGAAAAATTGATGATAAAATGGATACTAATACAAAAAGATGAGAAAAAAGCATTTGAATGGTATTTGAAATCAGCAGTGGGTGGTGATGCTTTAGGACAAAATAATCTTGGTTGGTGTTATCAAAATGGTATAGGAACACAAAAAGATGAGAAAAAAGCATTTGAATGGTATTTGAAATCAGCAGAGGGTGGTAATGCTAATGGACAATATAATCTTGGTTGGTGTTATCGAAATGGTATAGGAACACAAAAAGATGAGAAAATAGCATTTGAATGGTATTTGAAATCAGCAGAGGGTGGAAGTACTAGAGGACAACGTAATGTTAGTGTTTGTTATCGAAATGGAATCGGAACACAAAAAGTGGAGAAAAAAGCATTTGAATGGTATTTGAAATCAGCAGAAGGTAATGCTTTAGGACAATATAATCTTGGTTGGTGTTATCGAAATGGATTCGGAACACAAAAAGTTGAGAAAAAAGCATTTGAATGGTATTTGAAATCAGCAGAGGGTGGAAATACTAAAGGACAATATATTTGTAGCTTCTATTACAATGAAGGTATAGGCACACAAAAAGGTGATAAAAAGCTTTCGAGTGGTATTTGAAATCAGCAGAAGGTATCTTGACGGACAATGTAATCTTGGCTTCTTTTATCTTAATGGCATAGGAACGCAAAAAGATGACCAACAAGCATTCGAGTGGTATTTGAAACCGGGCAAACCATTTCTTTTATAGACAATATACTCCGAGAAAAAATAAAAGTCATAGTTTCTGACTATCTTGCAGTTCTTTTTCTACAGTTACTCTTATGACACGTTTTTTTATTAAGTAATTATTGATAGTGTTTTTTATTATTATTTTTTCTAAAATTAAAATTATTAACTAGTTATTTATTTTTGGCTTGTAAATATATTTAATTGTAGCACGTTTGTTTCTTAATCTTTGTGCAATTACATTCTGGACGTTCCTTTTTCTTCAATGATATTAAAATTATAAATTGAATATTTGAACTAATAAATTGTATATTTTTGGATTAATAATGTTACAAAGGAAAGTATCTTAATGAAAGTGTATTTTTTTTAGATAAAAATCTACTGAATATTTAATAACCAAAAAAAGGGTTTGTTATTAAATTTTCTGATTACATATATCTTATTGTATCGAGTATTAAATGTTGTGCAAACGCTAAATAATCTAACTTAAGCATACT